AGGATCCTAGGCGACATGCCAAACCTCCTCAGCCTCCTTAGGAAGCACAGCCGCCCGTTGGGCCTTCTTGACCAGCTGTGTGGTGTTAAGCGTCCAAGTGAGGTCCTCACTGATGTGGACACCCAGATATTTGAAGCTGCTCACCCTCTCCACTTCGAGCCCCCGGATGAACAGTGGCTGATGAGTTCTCCTCTCCTTCCTCATGTCCGCTGGAGGGCAGCCGTGATGGCGTCTGAGGTGGCCCTGTTGGGCCAGTAGGCCGAAGATGAGAGCAGGTTCACATTGAGCACAGGTGACGGGTGTGAAAGAGTCTGGAGACGCTGTGGTGAATGTTGTGCTGCCTATAATATCATCCAGCATGACTAGTTTGGTGCTGGATCGCTGATGATCTGGGGAGGCATCTCCTTGGGGGGGCACATAGACCTCCACATCATAGCCAATGCTACCCTGACTGCTGTGAGGCACTGGGATGAAATCCTCAGAGCGATTAAAGTGACTTGGGTTAAAGATAAGAATACCCAACTATTTTGTATTCTTGGGTGATCTTATATTTAGACTAGGTGTTTGTTCTTTTGGCTTTAATCTCTTTACTTGACTCAAGGAGAGCCCTGCACAAGAATTCCTATATGCCTAGACTGTCTGTTTATGCATAAATGGCAAATAAAAATCTTGAATCTGGGTTGTCAGATCTTACGCTGGTACAGAGGACCCCTGGTTCCTCCTGGTGCAGGACAGTGGCCGGTCTCAGGTGGCCAGAGTGTGTAGGTAGTTCCTGGTTGATGAAGGCATTGATGCCACTGACTAGCCCTCACATTCCCCTCACCTAAATCTGACTGAGGACCTATGGGGCATTGTATCAGTGCATCCGGCACCACAAAGTACCACCACAGACTGTCCAGGAGCTCAGTGATGCCCTGATCTAGCTCTGGGAGAAGAGCCCCAGGACATCATCCGCTGACTCATCAGGAGCAGCCCAGACTGTCAGGAGTTCATACAGGCACATGGGGGCCATACTCACTTCTGAGTCACATTATGAGGTGAACTGATGAAGCCTCTTGGATGAGAGGTGAAACGTCTTCAAGCTAGAAATCTAGTCCAATTGATTATATTTCTAAGTTTTTTCAGCTTACTATGACCTGGATGACTGAGAATCTGCACAGACATTATGAGGTCTCATTTTGTTCTGAACAAATGATACAATGTACATTAGTAAAGGTTTTCAACTTGAATAATTTGTTCATCAAGATGCGATGTGTGATTTAAGTGTTAATTGTTTTTAGCAGTTCATATATATAGTGTATATGGATGAGGCTCATTGAGCTGTGGAAGCACTGTACAGTGTGTCATCAGAATGGTGTTATGATCGACAGTAACGGAGAAATAGCTACTGACAGCAGATTACTGCTGTGAAGTGGATAAAAAAGTCAAATGGATAATAGTAATTATGTTTTTCTTTTGGCTGACCCCAACTTTAATGGAGTTGTCAGTGAACACACTCGCTCTAGGTTCAGTTTAAGCATCCAGTGTGAGCGCTCGCGTCTTGTCAGTGAGCAATGAAGTCATGGATCCTGGCAGTGCGGGTGGGCTGCTTAAAACATGGTGTGAGTTAACGCATTTTACGTGATCAATAAAACTCTGGACCGTACCGTATGCGGCAGCGAGTTCCAATAGCTCCGTCTTCTTTTGTTTTTGTTTTTTTTTTTTCTCTTTTCGTGCTTTCTGAATTTGTCTATCAAGATCGGTGTGTGGTATCTGTTCTTATGGTGTCTTGTTGCTTGCTCTCTGTTGTTTTTTGTCCCTTACTGCTGCTGGAACACTGGAATTTCCCCACTGGAATCAATAAAGTTCTTCCTACCTAATAAAGTTCTACCAATAACTCCCCTAAGCTGCCTGGAAACCCTGCTGTTTGTGAACAAATGAGTGCAACCTTATTTTGGACTCTCATACGAGTACATGACAATAGATAGAATATAATAAAAGCAAATGACATGTATATAATCATTAAAACAATCTATATATATTCTATGTATTATGAATGTACATTATACTAAAGAAATGAGCATGGAGAAAATGAATTAAATGTCATGTAAACAAAGTGTGTATTTACAAAAAAGTGAGAGAGTAAAATTTGGATAATATCTAAATTATATAAATCATATGTACCCTTGTCTGTCTTAGATGAACTGCAACAGATTGCGTATTGCTGAAATACTTTAAGGTTTTTCTTTTTACTGTGTTTCAGTTCAACTGTTAGATTAAAGAACACACAGTGCTGTCAATGTGACTTTTGCTTTGCATGTACCTGAGTAGTACTCAGTAGATGGGGACAACTCTCTGATGGTCTCTACTTGCTGTCAGCACTGGGAAATGGAGTATCTTTGGATATATACTGTGAGATTGTGCGAATTGATTTCACCTTTGGCCACTAGATGTCACCCTACACAGTCTTAACACCAGAACAGCCTGTGTGCAAGATTCCCTTTCACAGACTGACATCAAAGTAATAACTACATCTTTCTCAATGTCCCCTGAGATGCAGAGACAAAGACCTCTGTCAAACAGTTTTATTAGGCTGAAAAGGCTGATTACATACAATTAGTAGCACTGTTTCCTCTTCACATGATTATTGTTGAATGGCACAGCAGGGATGGGCATTCTGTGAGCACAAAATATCTTGCTTCAGGATCTAGAGCGTGGCATTACTGTTGTCAGTTTTTACGTACAAGAATGGAATTGCTCACTGGTGATTTCTTGGATCCATTTTCAGGTAGGTGCCCAGATGTCTGAGGAGGCTCTGAGGATGACGTCTTGGCCTTGAACCCCACCAGTATGTCAGGTAAGACTCTGGATTATTCCCTCAGCAATACACACTCTGTCGTTTACCCCTCAGGTGTATTCAAATTATGATTTTTAGGGTGCAGGAGAAGCTAGAAGGAGTTGATATGGCAAAAACAGTGTGCAAAAAAGAAGTCAAAAGTGCTTCACTGAAATACAGACACTTAGGGCTATAATTTTTTTTAAGGCACATAAAACTGAGACATACCTTTTAAAATGTTGACAATCTACAAGTGATTTTTAGTCTCTCAAAATAAAACTGGAACCGATTTGTACTACATTTGAATATTGAAAGTAGGTTAAAATAGGCTTTCTACACATGATCGGCGACAGAATGACATCAGTATATTTTTCCTGTGATTAGAGCAAAAGTGCAGAACTGGCAGCAGTAATTCCTTTTGGTGTTATGTGCCAGCTGAATTGTACATCTCACTGCTGCACTCAGAATTGATTTTGAAGTCCGCTGAAGTCATTTTCAACCTTAGCCTTTGAACCCTCCACCTTAAGTTTTGTGAAGTGCCTTTTTTGTGGCCATGTCAAGCTGAACTGTAAAGCCAAAATGTACAAGCTGCTGGTTCTGGGAATGTTTTTCCCATTTCAGTCCTTTAATAATATTCTTAATGTAACTTTATGTAGAAGCATAGGACTGTCTCATTTTACTGGTTTATGTTATGGCCTCAATTTAAATGATTTCAACTCGGTAATGTAATGTCTTCTGGTTTGACATGGCAGACAGCTTGACAGACTTCAGTACCCATAAGTCTTGGTTGCTGTCGCTGTGGATGAGAATCAGGTGGAGCAATAGTTAGTGAATTAATCAAAACCTGATCCAGAAGCTGATAGGAAATAATTTTATTATGGATAGTTTTATCAGTTTTTTCAGCAGAGTAATCTTAAGCTTATAATCCATTGTTAGCGACACACAATTTTAAGCTCTGCAGGTGCACGTTTTTGACAAAAGCATCTTTGAAGATAACTTGCACCTCGTAGTTTGCATCGACAGATTTGAAGAAAATATTTTGTAACAGTTGTTACTCTTTAGCACTGATAGAGTAAATGGAAGTCTTTTGTTTCCATCCAAGCCTTGGAATAGCTCCACCTGTGAGTCACCTGACATTGCATGTGAAAAACAAACAAAAAAAGGTCTCCCAGAACCAGGGGCACTAAAAAGAACTGCTACTAACTCTCATTTCTATAGGATGACAGGACCCGGGGCCCATCTTGTAGTGTGCGCAGCTTATACAGCTGATCATGTGTAGAGGGCATCACCATCCCACCAGAATACCGTCAATGTACAATAGTTTAACTGGTTGGGGATCACCTTTTTAATGTGAGGGAACACAATGTAGTTAATTTCATTGAAATCAGTCTTCCTTTAAACCAATAATATTTTACACAAAACTGGCAAAAACCAAAATAATCCACAAGCCTTGTTTTTTTTCATTAATTGGCTAATGTCTCAGTTTGAACACGGAGCTCTACAGAGACAGCGTAGATGAATGATGAATTGGCTGTCGTGTGGATTTAGCCAGTCCTGGCGGCCTCGCTCACCCGACATACATGCTGTCAATTTCAGCATAGGGAACAGGCACAAGCTTGTATGAATCACATGATGAAGAAATGAACATGATCCCCTCACTTAGTGGGACATAGTGAGACTAAGAACAACAGACTATGACAGAGTAATGTTTCTCATGCTGTTGATTTAGGCTCCACATTAACCTGCTGTTTTATTGCCTAGCTTCTGAATGCTTTGATGTGAAAAGCCAAACAGTGTTAGTCTGCCTCTCTCATCTGATTCACTGAGCAAGTAGCTTTTTGTTAAAGTGCCTCTCCCATCTATTTTAGAGCCAGCAGAAAAATGCTCCCCCCGCTGGAAAGATGATGCCATTCAAAATGGTAATATTTCCCCTCCCTCTCCGCATTGCTTTTCCTCTTCTTTGTCAGTCTGGGTGAGCTCATAAACAATGCAGTGCTTTTTACTAAAACTGAGCTTCTGCTTCAGGTTTTAACCTCCTTCAGCTTTTGTTTTGCATCTTGTTAAAGACCTTGAATGTCATGAGTTAGACTGTTTACATCTAGTAACTTGATTACTCATTTGGAGAAATTCTAAAAACATTTTCTCACTTTATTCAGATTTCCAGGGCTTTTTCTATGGAGTGAAATTAGTATCAATAATAGTTACAAATGCATGTTAAATGATCTACAAACTGCACATTTACCTATGAGTATGATCATTTGTGTGTTATTTATAGTGCTTAGAAATGCGTTCAGTCCACAAACTACCAAGTAATCTGAACAGTGTTTTATATACATGTTCAACTTCAGGTTCATGGATCTGATGCACTTTGCTTTTGAAAATCTTTTTGTGCATATAAATATCTAAAATTTTTTGTGAAGTTGTTTTACAAGCCCTTTTTTTTCCACTGCTCATTCAAAACAGGAATTTTCTGAGTTTCCCGCCTCACTGTTCTGTGTAAAAAGGTACAGTGCCAGAATAGGCGGTTGAAGTTAACCCTCCAGAATGCCGTGACAAGAGGTAGTATTTTTGCCGAGATGAGTTCGCTCCACCTCCTGTATAAATGGAACGAGGTGGAATTGGAGGTCCAAGTGAGAGTGAGAGAGCTAGAGAGTGAATGAGGAGAGAGAGCAGCATCAGCAAGAACAGGAATCAGATTTAAAATATTTTGTGATTGCTTCACTGTGGTTACGTTCTAAAGTAGGAATAAACCACCACACCTCTACACCTGTGGGAAGGACTTTATGTAAATGCTGCCAAAACACATGCTTCTGTCTGTTCTGAGGTGAAGTACACTTTGTGTGTGTAGCCCTGCCATCAAACAGACACAGACCTGAAGCTGGATGCACGTATAGAAGCCTACTTTAATTTCAATTCATAAATATATTAAACAACATCAGATAACAGCCCGTTTGTTTCGTTTTCAAATGGGCTGCGAAATACACTGAGTATTCTGGTTCCTTTTCTTAGGTTCATCTATAGTTAGTTTCATTATGTATTTGGAGTTATGGGTATGAGCAAAAGCACCCATAAGAGTGTGAAAGATACATGCAGAGATCCTAGCTGCCTATGTAAATACCTTCATGCAGCTTATGATCTGCGGGGCAAAAACAGTAGAGTTAGATCAGTGAAGTTAAAACTGCATGACACTGGAAAAATAGGCTTACAATGCTCAAATTGCTTGGCATTTGTTTGTGGATTGAACCGTGCATTTGTGTACACTATAAATTACACACATCATTCTACACATTTGTACGTTTTCATTTGAAGATCATTTAAGACACAGTTATCATTCATCACCAGACTATTTTCCATATTTCTCTGAATCATAATTCATTACCAAAATCATTTACATTAAATCTATTTAATGTAATTTATAGTAGCATTTAGCCAAATGTAACATGCAAAGAAATGGGCTTGATTTTAAACATTGGTAACAAATGCATTTAATCCTAAGTATACATGTGACGTGTCCTGTGTGTTGAGTACCAGCCTGCTCGCAATATGTTAGACATATTTATTTTCAGCATATTCAGATTAAAATACTGTGGAAGAGACATAAGGATAAAACTCGAAGGACAAAGGTCCTGTACAGCGTTGCCACAATTTGATTAATCAGCAACTAGTTATAATCAGAAATCAATTGAGTTGTTTTGAGCAAAACTGGCAAACATTTGGCTATTGTATGTTCTCAAATGTGAGAATACACTGCTTGGACCTAGCAAGACATTCAGTGACATCACCTTGAGTGAGCTGCAAGATGTTTTGATGGATACAGTTTTTTTTTATGTTTTACAGACCAATCGATCAATCAAGGTTAATCAATAATGAAAAAGTATCGCTAGCTCTATAAGGACCGACTTTTCTGTTCAGAGAAACTGGTTGAAAAAGCAATGCAGCATAACCTGAAGTCACTTTAATCTGTGGACTAACCAACTGTTTTGCTTTGCTACATATTTGACTCATCAGTTAATCACTCATTAGCCACAAACAGAAATGTTTATACAAGTGTAGGACAGTAAGCTCAATTCCAAACACTCTTAACAGACATTTTAAAAGAAAGGCAGCACATCTAGTCTGTTAGGCGGCTGTTTTATATTCTCCACTGATCACTGGTGCAGTCAAGGACAGCTGAGTCAGTGTTTTTACAGATTGATATGACCTTTTCTAGAAGCCTGAAGTGCTTTGAAGTGGCTATACTCATTTCCGGTCTTTTGTGGTGTCTGCTGACATAAAAAGAGGACTTTTAAGAATATCTTCACGTTTGAGCAGTGATTTTTACAGCAGTGTTTATATAAAGGTATATCTGTTGAACATTCAGTATGAATAAAATGTTCTTAGTGGTTGATAAAACGGTTAATTGTGAGTGCATCAAGGGCAGCAAACACAAAAAGTTCACCTATAAACTGATGTCTAACATTAAGCTGCAGGGGTTGCTTTTTTTCCTCCAATATTTCATTTGTTGCATATGTCTTATCTGTATGAAAACAAAATAATTTGGTTTAGTCAGCTTGCTGTGTACCGTACCACTGTCCATATTTTATATACAGTTAATGATCTCATCGTCAGAGAGCAGCCTTTTTATGGACTATCCAGTAGGTTGGCAGACATTTGTCAGAAACGGCGCGCGATGCGGCCGAAAAGTGTTAGATGAACTCATTAAATGGCCAGACGAGGAAGTAATGAACAAACCCGTCTCTTTAATAAGAGAACTAACGTAAACAAAAAACCATACAAGACACGGTGGAAACACAAACTCACGGTCGGTATAACAGTCCGAGATCAGAGCCAGCAAACACATACATCCAGGGGAATCCAAAACGCATTGTCCAAAGATAAGTCTGTTAAGCCGATACACAGAAGCAGTCCGAAATAAGAGGGCAAGGCAGAACAGAATAATCCAAGGAAGCAGTCCGGGTCAGAAACACAAAATACCAATACCGAAGAAAATGCTGGCAAGTCAGAGCTGGGGTCTAGAACAATCTGGCAGCGTCCTGGTGGGAGGACGTTGCCTAAATAGAGGTGCAAACAATAACGAAACTAAGGTGAAACCAATGTGAGTGATGAAGAACGCAAAAAGACAGAAACTAAGGTGAAACAAAAACAGGAAGTAACGTCAAAATAAAAGCCGGACAGGAAGCAGCAGAACCGAATCATGACAACATTATTTCATCATTTGTAGCTTTGGTTAGGTGCAGCCTTCTCTTTCTGGGGTTGTCACATTTACATGATTGAATTTCAAACAAAAGTTCAAATTCCATGAGAACGCATGTAGACTAGTCCTAAACAACAGTTACTTGTAAATGCTGCCTCTGCTAGGAGGTGACTTCAGATTTTTTGGTTATAGTAAAGATAATGTAAGGCAGTAGCATTATAAAGGTCACAAAACAGCCTTACTTTGCCTTCTTTGATGCTGAATTTAAAATCAAAAACCAGTTGAAAAGATGTATTAACTCATATAAAACAGTAACAAGCTAGTCTTTACCAGACTAAGGTGATCTGTAGTTCTTCTTTAATAGGCTGAAGCATAGTTCATTATTATGACTCCTTATAGCTGACTTCTGTTTATCACCAGAAGTTCTGTTAATTCATTCTGTTCATTCGCAATTTGAAATTTTTGGAAGAAATTATGTTTTTATTTTTTGCTGTTTCTGCTCACATGATGTCAGTAAGAGAGTTTTTTGACTACAAAGCTGTTATTTACATACTGTACACGGGCTGTCCTTGAGCTGCATTTGAGCCTGTATCACCTGACTTTGATCAGCTCTAGGCATTGGTGGGACTGGGCTGGGTTTGAGGTTCTTGTGAGTCTTATAATATGATCACAGGTCCTGCAATAAGGTTAATGATAGTTTACTGCAATTGCACAACGATGAGAAGGATTTTAATAGGTGAAATTTTATTTAGCTAGTCTTCCGTGAATGTGTGCAGGTCTACCAATATACTCTCATTTTTGGGGGTGTTGTAGCAGAAGAGCTGACAGTATTTAAAATAGTTAAAAAGAAGAACTGCATCTAAAGTAGATCCCTGTAATTCGTTTTAAAGTGCAGGATAATCCACTCAATCTTTAACCTTTAGCAATAGGAGCCTTCTGTTGTTTCCCTGAGCTTCCCCTTAACTAACGTGTCCTCCTCAGGTAACACCAACAAGCCAGGGACATCTGGCTCAGAGCATCATGTCATTTGAGGGCCCTGGGGTAAAAGAGGTTCCTCATATCCAAAAATTGTCCGTGACCGGCTTTGAACTCCAAGGCCTGAAGTAATCGGTTACGTAGGGAGGTAGTATATCTGCGCAGGAGCCCACTGCAGGGCCATTGTGATGAGTTGCCACTGACAGAGGAACTATGGTCCTGTTTGTAAGAGTATATTATTGTATAATAGTACCATGAGAGTAGAAGACTGTCATTACTTCAAATAGAAAGGCCTTGTTGTTTGCCTCAGCCACTTCATGAATATCCAGAGTTGGCCGGTAGAGAGTATTTACATACACAGGTACTTCCTCAGCAGTATTTTACACAGGAAATCTAAAGTATTCCTCTGGACTTGCAATTCCAGCTTTCTGCTATTAGACGCAGGTTAAGAAACAAGATACAACTGATGAAAATGACAATTGGGGTGAGTAGAAAAACATTTTAATGTAATATTTAATTGTAAAAATTATTTTAGACTGTGCTATATTGAAGCAACACAAATGTATTTGTTTTTCTAAAAGTGTAACAGGGCAATTCTGAAAATAGTGAATATGGCAGTCTTACAATAATTTTGAAATTTTTTAATGTTCTTTCATATTAAAATAAATGCAAAGCTTGCTAGTTCCTTCCAGTTTTCAATCATATGATGTTTTGGAATTATAATTATTCTTTACATTTTTTATTCATAAA